CTGAGGCTGAGGCTGAGGCAGGCTGAGGCTGAGGCAGGCTGAGGCTGAGGCTGAGGCAGGCTGAGGCTGAGGCTGTGACTGCGACTGCCGTTGCCACTGCGACTGTCATCGCGAATGCGACTACGACAGCGAGAACAGCAGAATTCTACAACTGGATTCTCATCCGAATCTTAAGGGGAATGCTTCCAGATATGCTCCTACACATCGATGTTAGGTTGCTTTGCCGGGATAATCAGGCGTGTGTCCGCTTGCCCCCGCATATCTCCCCTGTTCCTCCTTCCTCCCGCCTCCTTGTACATCCTCCTTGTGGTGGGAGCGGGAGAAGGACGAGGCGGAGGAGGAGGGAGAGAAAGCGCTCCTCGTGGTTTGAGTCGTTCGGGCTTCTCGTCCTGGTGTGAGTCGTTCGGGCCCTTCTTCCTGGTGTGAGTCGTTCGGGCTCTTCGTGGTGTGAGTCGTTCGGGCTCTTCGTCCTGGTGTGAGTCGTTCGGGCTTCTCGTGGAGTGAGTTGTTCGGGCCCCTCATCCTGGTGTGAGTCGTTCGGGCCCCTCCTCCTGGTGTGACTCGTTCGGGCTCCTCGTGGTGTGAGTCGTTCGGGGCCCGTGTCGTGGTGTGAGTCGTTCGGGCTCCTCGTGGTGTGAGTCGTTCGGGCGCCTCGTCCTGGTGTGAGTCGTTCGGGCCCCTCCTTGTGGTGTGAGTCGTTCGGGCTCTTCGTGGTGTGAGTCGTTCGGGCCCCTCGTCCTGGTGTGAGTCGTTCGGGCTCCTCGTGGGGCCTCTTGGGGGCCTCTTGGAGCCTCTTGGGGCCTCTTGGGGGCCTCTTGGGGGCCTCTTGGGGGCCTCTTGGGGGCCTCTTGGGGCCTCTTGGGGCCTCTTGGGGGCCTCTTGGGGGCCTCTTGGGGGCCTCTTGGGGCCTCTTGGGGGCCTCTTGGGGGCCTCTTGGAGGCCTCTTGGGAGCCTCCTGGGGGCCTCTTGGGGCCATCTTGGGGCCTCTTGCGACCTCCTCAGAAGCGCAGATGAGCGCTGCCCCCTGATAAGGACAAAATGAGCCCAAAACCTTCGTAAAATCAATGATTTTGCTATAAAGGAAGATGAGCGCGGCCCCCTCAGGAGTCCAAAATGGGGCCAAAACCTTAGTAAAATCAATGTTTTTTGCTTCAACGACGAGCGGAGGCGCCAAACGGTCCCCCCCCCCCTCGGGGCCAGAATCCTCGTGAGGGTCGTCGTTTTTTGGCCCTCCCAGGCGTCGAAAAAGACTCCCCTGACCACGCTCGGGACTCCCTCTCCAGGTCCAGGGGGAGGGGGTAGGGGGAGGGGTAAACCCCTCCCCGAAGGGGAAGAAGGGGGGTTGAGGACAGAGAGAGCTCTCTAAACCACTCACGCCCAAAGGGCTGGTGGGATCCGAAAACTGGCTGTGTATATTCATGTACCCTTTGTTAAATTTTCCTTTCCCCCAAAATCCGCCTGTAGGAGGACGTGCCCGACCGAACGCTGGCTGCAAGGCATGAAAACCTTCCTGGCGGCGGCCGTGTAGCTGTGCCGCCGTGGTACGGCGCCCCCCGGGGCTCTTGGCGCGCCGCACCCCAGGCGCGGCGGCGGCACTCTCCGGGAAGCCCCGCGGGGTAAGCCGTCTGCGACCGGCACCCCGGGCCTCAGTCTGGTTGACCTGAAAAGGGGGTCCAGCGACAAGGGGGTGGTGCAGTAGAGATTGGTGCAACAGCTTTACTTGTGGGGTTGCAACAGACCCAGGGATCCAACGTGTTGAAAAAATCAAGACGGACGTTTTTTGCAGTTTTCGGCCTCCAGGGGCCCTCGCCGGGCCCCGGGATCGTGAAAAACGGCTCGGGATGAAACACCGGTCCTGGGAAATGTGTCTACCTTTCCGGTGACCCCGTATTGAAAAAATCACGACGTCGGATCTTTGGGGATTTGGGGCGTGCGATACATTCCAGTGCGCACATGTATTGCTGTGTTCTCACATGCAGTACAGGAGTTGCCATACAATGCAATACAACTCTCTGGCGCAATATGTTTGCAATCCAATTGCCCCACATCTATTGCACCACCCCCTTTCAGCTGGATCCCCTTTCGGGTCACAAGGACTCAGGTGAAGTCGGGCATGGCCCTCGACAGAAGGAGTGCTCGAGAGTGGGCAAAGTAGTCTCGGGACGATTTGTTGTTTGATGTTTGGTTTATTTCTAAATGCGTTCTGGGCATCCAGGGTCTCCGGTGAAGTCGGGCATGTCCTTGTTGCTCGAGAGCAGTAATAAACAGTAGTCTGGTGACGATCTTTTGTTTTTTTGCACATGTTGCGATTATTTTCAATGTTTCTTCCAACATCCGCTTGTAGGAGGACATGCCCGACGTAAGTCAAGGGAAGAAAAACACCCGGACCCGATCATTGGCGTTTACTAAACGGCCTTGGGCGTTTACTAAACAGCCCTGCCCTGTTCGATTCCGTCAATGGGACCGTTTACTAAACGGCTTCGCGTGTCGGGGTGATTAT